ATAGTAAAGCATAACTGCAAACAATAACCAAATACTAATTTAATATAATTTAATAGAATGATAGCTTTAGCTAAATAAATAAAAACATTATGAAGAATTTTGGGCTGTGTTTCAATCCCTGTAACTTGCACTTCTCGCTCCTCACTTGCATCTACACACTGGAAAGCCAAACTCCACCACTGGCACAGAAGCAAAAAAATTGAGCCTGTTCTATGTTATGAAGAGTCTGATGTGAACTGACCTAGATTAGTTTTGACCAAGAAACTATTTAGCTAGGGCTGCTGTTAGAAAATTATTTAAGAACAGTCAAGAGCGCAAAATGACTAAAGACAGTGACTCCGGTAAGCAATAAGAGATTACAGAAATCCTGCAGTTGAATGTCTTAGTTCAGCGTATCTCTGCTGCCTCAAACATATTATTTAACTTGAACTATGGAAAACATTGGACTTTCATTCTGTCATTAGGAAGTCAAAATGTTGATGAATTTAGAGTGTAACAGTAAACATGTTTTTCAAAACCAAACACATTTACTGCACTCTCGCCTCTCATCCAGATCCAATCATAAATCCCACAGGCACGGCAAAGCTTCATTAAACAAGTTCTGTGCACCATCACAAGCTAATGACGAGGATTTGGAGAGGGGCAGAGATCACTTCATTAGATCTGACCTAATAGCTTATGCACAAAACAACCTTCAAGTACTTATTTTTTTCAAGGCAACATGATAAAACTTTTAAAGGTGCCTGGTGCTAATAAACAGAAACCTTATGCAAAGGGGGTATAATTTTGCTAGCCTGGTCTTGTATCTGTCAGTGTATTATGATCAGCATGCCTTTATGAAATTACTTTTTTTTTGTTTTTGTTTAATCAAATAAATTACACTAAAAAAATGATGTGAGAACAAGTGAATACTTTAAGCATGTCAATCAAGAGATAGCTGACCTATTTCATATTAAAAAGGTATCATTTCAAAAACAAAAGTAATTTATATGCAAAAATGTATCTTTTCTGTCCTCAGGATACAATACAAAAGATAAAGGTTAAACGAGGGCTAGTTGTAATTGAAACTTTTTTATTCCAGGTAATACTTTTCTGGGTAAGTTCATTTTTTTAAGTCAATTTCAGTATACCAGGTATATAGAACATGAGAAAACTTATACCAACCTTTCTGAAGTAGTATGGAATTATGACAATGATGTATATAATTACTATATATCCTAAAAATCTACCCTCCTTACACTTTCCTGAAAGTATACCATGTGCGGTTTTAATTAATTGTGTTCACTTGTTTACCCAAAAGCTATTTAATAAAAATATATATTGAAAGTTTGAAGAACAGATCTTTGTCATTTTAAGCTAATTTTAAACCAGCACACATAACTACTGATATAAAAACAATCATTTCCGTAATTGGACTCAAAACCGTATAGCCATTATGACAATTAGCCTCCTTCTCCTCTATCTGCTCAAATAATGCTGCAAAAGTCAATACGGTGCATCAATTCAAATTAACATTCAAATGTAAATTGTAGAATTTATCAATTTCTTCACTCTATTTATCTATTCACGGCACCGCATCACAGGGAGCACCACTGTCTGTGCTGCGTAAAAGCGCACGCCATCCAATCCATCGACACTTGGCTCTATAAAAACGCAGCGAGCTGTCAATGCGCCTGAACCTACGCACGGGCAAAAGCTTTGTGCGATAAATATTATTAAAATTAGGTTAAATGCGCTCTCATAGTTAGATCTATTGAAACGGAGTTAAAAAGATACACTTGGACTGAAATATCACAGTTGGGATGTGCGCGCAAAGACAACCCCCCCCCCCCCCCCACGCACCCAAAAAT